TGTGGGAAGCTGGCAGGGAACACTGGAAATCGTGATCACGTGACCACGGCTTGCTGTGATGTTGTAATCGTGAGCCAAGTGCCCAGATCACGATTACGTGAACACAGAGATGCTGCAATGACTGGAACTACAAGGATCTGTCATAAGTACCATTCATTCCACGCTGCTGTAACTTGGAATGGTCTTTGAACAAATGGTCATAACCCAAGGACTACCTGTAAATATATTGCAAAGGATAACATGACAAAAAAGTGCTTACAAACTTTTTCAGATCTTCGTACTAAATATACAGAAATTTGTAAAAGGTGTAAAACGTGTGGGGTAAACATGTAGGGACTTCCACGCATGTACATCCTTCTTTCCCAATTTAATACCAGTACTCTCAGCTTATCCTTCAGGCCCAACTATACATATAAAACTTTACACCTAGTGACTTTTAGAATAGACTCCCTAATATATGTGAGGTTCTCCCAATGGATAAGCCTCATTCCTCCCCATCTTCCTTGGGATTGATGCTGATGCACTATCCAAACCCTTATCTCTCTTTGTTTCTGCCCATTAGGTTAGAGGTGACAGAGTGGGCATGGTCCAGGTTCCATCTTTAAAGCAGTGTCATCTGATGGGACGTAGAAGATGTGCCATCTCTGTTGCAGTGCCTGCTCTCTGGAATTGTATTGCTCCAACTCTGCTGCCTTTAAATGGGCTTGAAGACCTGGCTTTTTTCCCAGGCCCTGGGTTAAGTGGGATATGTGCCCCAGAGTAAAATCCTATTAATATGTAGTTTGTCTGGTTCCTTGGCTATTGCCAACAATTTTACTGTATTGGGTTTAGTTTTTAATCTGTATGTCACCCTGAATCATTATGAGTTGGGCACTTTTTAGAAATATGATTTATAAATAAACAATAATTTTCATATCCCCTTTCCCCTGGAACAGCCTTACTTCTAGCATTTTATCTCCTGCCCATCACTACTATATTTGTTCCTTTCTGACTACCTCCTTCCTCCATCTTGTCAGAACTTTCATTAAACTCTTGTTTCTACCTTGTACAAAATATATATACTTTAATCTATCAGACTCCAACCCTTCCTGTCTCCTTTCCCTGTTGCCCTGCTCTACCTTTTAAAAAGGCGTAGCTCTGTGAACTGAACTCAATTAATTTTATCATCCAGATCAGTAAACAGGTTTTTATTTATTGTGTAACTTTCACTCTGATGTATATTTACTTTCAGTGATGCATAGCACTGGAATATATGCTCAGCCTATTCCAGCAAATTAAGATGTACAGGGAGTCCTCAGGTTACAATGGCAATTGGGACCAAAGTTTCAGTCGCTAAGTGATGCGGCCATAAAGCGCGATGTCACATGACCACATTGCTTAGCAATGGCAATCTCTGCAGTCCCCGTTGCCATTGTTAAACAAGGATTGTGGATTGTTAAGTGACCACCTCCTTGCAACTTCCTGCCAGCTTCAAACAACTAAAGTCAGTGGAGAAGCCGGCAAGAAGTTGCAAGTCCCAGGCAGCTTGCAAGCAGGTCAGCAGGCAGATAAGTGGCTGCTGCTCGATGGGGGAGGGTGCATGAGTGGCCAGAGGCACGGCACAAGGTGGGTTGGGGTGGCTTCCAGATAGAGGAGGGTGCACAAAAGTGCGTGAGAGATGGGAGAGGCGCAGTGTGAGTGTGGCAGGGCTTGGAGGGCTGCTGCCAGGTGGGGGAGAGTGCATGAGGATGTGTGAGTAGTGGGGGAGGCACAGCGCAAGGGGCTTTTGGGTGGGTGCTGTTGGGTGGGGGAAGGTGCACAAGGGTGTGCAAGTGGAGGGGGAGGGTGTGCGAGTGGCTAGGGAGGCATGGTGTGAGTGTAGCGAGGCTTGGGAAGGGTGCGTGAGGGTGCATGGGTGGCCAGCAAGGTGCAGCGCAAGTGCAGAGGAGCTAGAGGAGGGTGCGCGGGTGGGGGAGACTTACTCAAGCAACTTGCAGCCTTCCCTGCTGGCTTCTCCATTGACTTTGCTTGTGGGAAGCCAGCAGGGAAGGTTGCAAATTGCGGTCACATGAAACAGGAGGCTGAAACCATCGTAAATGTGAGCTGGTTGCCAAGTGCCCAGATGGTGATCATGTGACCGTGGGGTTGCTGGGATGGCTGGAACTTCAAGGACCAGTTGTAACCACGACTAATTCAGCACTGTCATAACTTTAAACAGTCACTGAACTGGTTGTTAACTGAAGACTACCCGTACTGTATATCAGTTCAAGATATAACACTACTAAATTGGACATTATATGTAAAAAAGTAATATTGTATAAAAATATAAAAAGAAAAGTATTTCAGAAAGCAAAACCTTTTACAGCATTCTGTGAGCACCAGTAAGCGGTCTCTGACATGGCCAATTTGCTCTTTGCTTTATGTTTAAAAATGCAATCTGTCAACTCAATGACATATATCTTCATGTTAGAAAAATGCTAGTCAGTTAACTACACTGTTAACTATGGTTAAATCAGGCCCAGTGATGTTCATCACTAATATTGCTGCCCTCCCCCATTTCCTTATGTCACTCTGCAGGCACTGCATATAGCTATCTTTAGAAAAGAAATTACAACATGCTGCCTTACAAGTCAAACAGAGTTTGAAAGCTAAATGTATTTATCTTCCTGCCTCATTAAAAAACAACACAAAACTAGCTTTCAATAGAAAATCTAAACCCAAAAGACAATTACAGCCTGAAGTGAGACATTCTATAGTTTAAGCTTCTCTGTACAATAATTACATGTTGGTAACAATTTAGCAGCAAAAGGAAAGCTCTTGAAACCCATCTGCAATGTTAAATGTATTCTACAACCTGCTACCGTTTGGAAGCTCAAAAAGATCAAGAATGTTTTAATTGTGACTAACTAAATTATCACTTTTTTCCATAAAAATGGCAGCTACATTAGGTATAAAAAACTTTAGAATATATGTAGGTCAGGGTTGAACTGTGGAGTCCTTGGTGTTCTCTGAGCTTTTGAATGGGGTGTAAATGTTGTCTATCTCCATGTACCATTTGATGGCTGACTTGACTGAATACCAAGCTTCCAGGAATTCCCTCGCATTTTTGGATTTAGCTTGGTCTACGACGCTGACAATTTCCCAGTTGAAACTATGGTTGAGGCTATCCATGTGTTGTGAGATTAAGGAGTTTTCATCATGTCTTGACTACTAGTTGATGTTCATGGATGCGCTCTGCTAGTCTTCTGCCCATCTATCCTACATAGTGGCTGTTACAGTCCTTACACTGTATGTTGTAGATGACTCCTGTTCTTTCTTCTTGGACTACTGGGTAGAAGACTACTGGCTAGACCAGAACACCTCCTCACCAGCAATCAACATCCAGATAAGCAGGGATTAACACCAAACAATCAAGCAGTAAACCCTGATATCAGCATCTGTGCTACAAAGCAGTTCATCACAGAAGGATATGTGGTATGCCTTAAACCCTCAGTGTATTTTGTGGGATACACATTCCATAAAATCATGCATTTGGACTTTTCTACTCAACCTCAATGCTTACTTTCTAGTTTGCTTTAATATCTTCTCCTAAAAAATGTAGTAACGCAAATTAGAAATGAATGAATGTTTCTATTCTAGCACCAGGAACTATTTAAAAAACAATGTGGGTTCAGATTAATAAATATTTCAAAACTATCTTTTTGGCAGATGGCAACTGGGATTTTACCTTGGCTAACTACTGATGCTAAACCTGAAGGGAAGTAAATAGTAGCTCTCAAACAAAAAGGGGAGGGGGAGAGAGAAATAATATTTTAAGACCCTGATCAATATTTTATTTAGATTGACCAGCATGTTTAGTCTATTTTCAAAGGTTCAAACTCCATTTGAGCCCATTTCTGATGCTAGAATAATGTATATTCCTGTAATGGAAGGCTTGAGTGAGGAAGTTACTGGAATGGAGGATCAAGGTTATCAGGAAGGAGGGGGAACATTCCAGAGCAAGCGCCTTCTCAGTCCGCAGCAAGACCATGGGAAGAGAAAGAGGA